CATGATTCTTTTGTTGAAATTCATAAATTCAAGATGGTGGCTTCCAAATAATTTTTGTTTTTGTATAAATGATGATCTCCGTTGTTATCAACACAAAACTATTACTGCGATATATCATCTGAAAGAGAAAAAAAAGTTATTTGTAACTAAGTCATAGTGAGCTATGACCTGAATTTGAAAAACTAAAGTTGGTGCTGATATCTCAAATTCTAGAAGAGTTGGTAGATATTTCATATTTTTTTCGGAATCACTCTGGAAAACTGCCATGAGAATGTGAAATTCCTATTTGAATATTTTCATAAATAAAGAAGTTACGGAGGAGACATGAAAATGATCAAAATCTGTTTTTTGCGTATAAAACAAAAACGAATAGATTTTATCAAAATATTTTTTCACATTATAGTTGGCCTTGACAAACTCCACATTTGGTGTCATTTAACCGACCTCGTATCTCTCACCGTTAAAAAGATATACCCATGGTGAGCATGGTAAGTGGGACACACTGTATACGAGATCCGACTGCAAGATCACTACGTTAGCTGAAATTTGATGAATCTCCACATCACACTATATGAATGAACATTTGGAATTTTCCAATATTTCTCACCATAAAGTAGTCTGAAAATAAAAACGAATCAATGATTTTTCAATTTCTCCCTGTATCTCTGAAACGAATGAAGATATCAAAATTCCTAACCAGCCATTTTAGGTTTCTATCAAATCGAACCCGTAACATGTATATCAGTTTTTCGATAACCCCCTTAAGAGGCCATATGCCACTCGAAATTATTCGAATGTTATCAGTTTTCTGTCTTATCCCTTCCCCGTCGAAAGGGGCGGGATCAACCTGAAGAAGCTGGAATCGTATGTTCATCGAGCGGCACGTCGAGGACACCGAACATAAAGTAGCGCGACACCGTCTTGATTACTTTTTGCCGCTCACTGACAACCGGTTGATTATTTATCGAAGACAGTCAAATGGTCTCATAATTACTAATATTCTGAACTTTTATCAGTACCTATTCGATTTTTGGCGCTGGTGATTAGATATTTTGTCATTTTTGATAATTGACCAACAGGTATAGGTATGATGATTATATTATCTACAGGATATTTTCGAAATTAGAGCGATACATACCAAATATGGAATGTTGTATTTTTTTTTCGCTGGGAGCGCACGGAAGGGAATCCTCATCTAAGGTAGGGAGATAGGGAGAGGAGGTAGGTATTGGATTTTTTTATAACTTTTGGAGAACATACCTAAGTACTTGGAAACATACTGAAGAAGCTAACAAAGCTACTTTCGATGTTCAACATGAAACACATCTCATAATTTTAGGCTCATTTTAGGCTAATTTATTACCCCATTCCCGAATTTCCTGCTCCTCTCAATCATCGAAAAATCTGTGGCTTTGCTAGCTTTGGCCGAACTCAGCAAAGCCTATTTTTAAAAACAATATTATTTCATGATCTGATTTAATGAAAATGCAGTGCTCATTTTAGGCTAATTTATTTCCCTATGCCAAATTTTCACGCTCCTCTCTATCATAGAAAAATCTGTGGCTTTGCTGGCTTCGGCCGAACGTTTCAAAGAGAAAAAATACAAGACGATTTGTCGAAATACGCGTCATCCACTGTACATTATGTAGCTTCTATCAAAAGCATATTTTATAATGATTTAATATGGCAAAGTGTTAGTATTAATTGTAAACTCGAAAACTATCCCATTCTGGAATTGTTTGCTACTTATTTTTTGAAAGAAACGTATGTTGCTGGCTTCGGGCGAACTCAGCAGAGCCATTTTTCACTGATTTGAAGGCAACTTCAGGATAATTAATTACCCTATTTTCGAATATTCTGCCCAACGTTTCGAACAAAAAAAACGAAACGATTCGTTATTCACTAACATGGAATAGTTATTGAGCTAACAATCAATACTAACACTTTGACTAATAAAATATTTACATCATGCATTTCTGATAGAAATGTATAGTGAATAACGCATATATATCTACGAATCGTTTCTTGTTTTTTCTTGCTTCGAAACGTTGAGCACAAAATCGGTAAAAAAAATATGTTTTCTACAAACGTCAAAAAATGACAAGGTTCGCGCATTGATACCAAATTGCGAAGTAACACTTTTTTTCAGTTTCCTACGTTACCATAATAACTTGCACAAAACAATGCGCGAAGTAAAACAGTGCGCGAAGTACCTACTTCGCGCATTGTTATGTAAAATATATGAGATATTTATATTTCAACTTCAAGGTCCTCAATCGAGCAAACATCTACGAAATCATTTATTCCTGAATGTTCAACAATAACTTTGTTTTATCTCGTGGAGCGCACGAAAGAAAATTCCTTTTATGTTCATGGAACATCGTGCGTAACTAGGGAGGATAGGGGGAGACCTTTCAAGCCAGTTCGACACTATTTTTCATATCAAGCTAAGCATATTTTTACTTTAAAACTATATTTTTTGACGTTTGTAGAAAAAATTTTGTTTGCAACTCGAGCGCGAAATACTTTGGTCATGTCGACTATTTTTTCAACTCGGCTACGCCTCGTTAAAAAAATCAGATCTCGATCACCAAAGTAGCATTTCGCGCCCTAGATACAAAAATAACTAATTTTTAAAAGTGGCTCTGCTGAGTTCGCCCGAAGACAGCAAAGCCACATCAGGTTTGTTTTAAAAAATATGCAGCGAGAAAACCCGAAATGGAATAGTTATTGATCTTACAATCAATACTAACATTTTGTCTTGCAAAATCGTCATAAAAGATGCTTTTGATAGATTTTTATGCTTGAAACGATGAGCGAAAAATTCGAAAATATGGTTGATGAATCAGCCTAGAATTAGCTTTTCAATATTGATCTATCAAATCAGTGAAAAATATATTATTTTCAAAAATGGTTGTTGAGGTGTAAAGCAGCTTTTCGCAAGAAACGAAAATCCAAGTTTTTGTGGAGCAGATTTCGCGCCAATGGTTCTGACCTGATTATGATTACCTTAGAAAGACTTTTGCTTATTGAAATACCGAGCATAGTTATAGTGGACTTGGTGGGAATGGTGACATCAGACATAGTTATATCAGGCACTATATAGCTGACCTGGCAAACTTTGTATTGCATTAAACATCATTTCTAAAAAATATTTTTTCAGTTGAATATGTATCAACACACTTTTTCTATTTTATTTCCTACTTCTATTCAGTTTGGCTATACATAAAAGCGTGTTTCAGTAGTTTTTCAAACTTCTATACATTATTTTCTAGATCCTTCGAATTCATTGGAAAGCAAAAAACGCATACTTACCTACCACCAAAAGGATTCCATCTCGGATTCTATCTATAGATATATTCCATATGATTATTATTATCTAGGACATTTATCTGTGAATGAGTGAATCAGTATTTCATTCATTTTCTTCAAAATATTATGGAAAATGTAAAATGTCTTATAAATCTTGGACTACTTTTTCACTTTCCTCACCTATTCTAATTCCAATTCTGCAAATGTTCATTCCCCCTAAACCAACGATGCTGCATTGATTAGGTATTTTTGGATATATAATTCTCTAACTAACCGTCTGAGAGATTTTTTTCTCTTGCATACCCCTTCAAAGAATAACGGTGATTCGTTCTGTCTATCTTCTTTTCACAGCTTTGACTCAGTTTGATCTCAACTCTCCTATACATTATTTTCTGGATTCTTTGATTTCATTGGAAAGCAAAAAACGCATACCTAACCAAACATCAGAAGGATTTCATCTCGGATTTTATCTATATATTCCATTTAATTATTATTACCTAGGACATTCCTCTGTAGAATGCGTAGATCATCAGTATTTCATTCATTTTTTTCAAAATAATATGGAAAATGTAAAATGTTTTATGAATCTTGGAGTACTTTTTCGCTCATCTCACCTGTTCTATAGAAATGGTGGTATGACGAAGCAACCGTGTTTTTTGTTGGCTCAACTTTGCATAAAAAATATTAGTCTATATATCCTGATCCATTTGCATAAAAAATATTAGTCTATATATAGTAAAATTCACCCTGATCCATTAAATCATTTTATCATGTTCCTGATATCTATATCTATTTGTTGGACTATAGGTACTAAAGATATCGTTTAGAACATTCCAGCACTTCCCTGTGTTCGAAGAATTAGAAAAAATATATTATATGAGTATAGATATAACACAGTTGCTTTGTTAATTCCATCATGATACCATGTTTATTATACATCAGGTTTATAAGTCTTGTAGGTTTATTGAACGAAATATAAATAGGTTCGTATCATGAAAAGACATATTGGATCGCAGACTATTTCGTGAAAATAATAAATATCATACTTCATCATAGGACCATTGACTAACAATAAGGCATTTGAACTTTTTGGGAGGAGCTTATTTTTGTTAAGTGCCGCGCCCACAGGGAAAATTCTTCTTCACGGTGCCTCCGCTCCCAATTTCCCATGCGAAAACCAAATAAGATTTCAGTAAATAAAAATCATTTTTGGAGAGTACTACATCTGATCTGTGCATCTTATCGAGTAGTTTTTCCATTTTTGATTCCATAACGTAGAAAAAAATTCACAAAATCGGTCAAAAACGCACTACTTTACAGGTGTTTATAAATTAGTCTATGTAAAAAAATGAAAATCCATTCGATAAGATGCATCGATTGCACCTTTGACTACCCAGGAAAAAAAAATTGAGCCTCTAGCATGATCCATAACCATAGGGGAACTTGGGAGCGGTACCTTGTTTATTGGCGGAGGCGCTGCGGAATATGCCCTCTTAATTATTGAGATAGCCCGTTAAAACACCCAATTTTGCCCACCCTGTAGATGACATTCAGAAACACACACACACACACCCACTCACACAAGATATAATTTCCAGAAAATTCGTAGAAAAACCAAAAATAAAATGGGTTCACTCTATGCTCAACATTTAACACCTATATGCAATATTTATATTTTTCAATTGCAGGTTGTTGGAAAACCAATACTGGATCGGCAATGTTGGAACAAATCTCATTGCTCGAAAAGTATAAAATGTGGGTCGACGAAGTTTCTGATCTATTTGGTGGATTGGATATATGTGCCCTCGAAGTTGTGGTTGGTAAAGATGGAAGAGAACACATCATTGAAGTAAGTTAAAAACTATACTTATCATATTCGATTTGAAAACGATTGTTCAAAAATTGTTCTATCCGCCATTCGGATGCCCCCTTACGAGGAAACCTCGGAAGTCATCAAGAGACTTCTGCGAGCAAGGAATGACGGGGGGCCTTACCTTTTAACGTGTGATCCCAAACACTTTCTTGGGCCATCAGAAACATTTCTGCAATCGGGGATTTGAACCCTCGACCGGCAAGCCATCACAATTAGAATACTAACGCTTCTACCGCACGGTTACCTGGCCCCTTCGTTAAACATATACCCTCACCCATCATTGGTACAATGGGGTTGTAGATACTAGCCGAATTTGCGCCACATACCTATTTTATATTGATCATTCTGTATAAATAGTATTTGATGCAATCATTCGTTATTTCAAAAATTGAATTCGGCGACTTTAAAAACCGCCTGGTTTGATGACGTCATGAACCGAATTCTGACTTAAGCATAAAAAGTAGTACCACATATTTCGACGCTGCCAGATTTGTAACTAGTAATTACTTTATGAGATTCAATATGACCAACGACAATAGTATTCACATTCAAAAAATACAATAGTTCGACCCGGTCCCTAATGATCACTTATTGAATACTTTTATATTTGCAAGATGTCTCAGTACCAATGGAAATATCCTAGTATTCCCAATAATGATCGAGATTCTATTTATTCCCGAATTATTTTGTAGCATGAGCAACAGTGTAATGCCTGAAGTACCAAGGATACAAAAAAAAGACAAACCTCATTGTCAACCTAACTTCCTGACGTAAATAGCAGCTGTCATCTTCACCGTCAAATCCTTGTTTCATCCATATACGTATTAATAAACAATACGGATCATAACGGGTGCCAGGATGAAGCCAAAAATATGAAACAAATGAATATCCATAAGGATTTGGTGGCATGATACGCATGCGCTATGCGCTATTATAGTAGTCATCAAAGACATGCGTTTCGGTGGACAATGACGTTTACTAGCCTTTCAATCAAAGCAGTATGTGTCTGATGATCGTTTCAAAACTTTTCCTTATGGATAGTCATTTGTCTTCAAAAATCGGCTTCATGTTTCGCTATGGAAACAGATAGAGATTATCCGTATTCATTATTAATACGTATATGGTTACATCTAGTCAAAATGCGAATTTTCAAAGATAATCCTCATATTATCTGATTCTTCAGATGTGTGTTGAAGTTCTCTGTTATCTGCAGTATGAATTCAATCCACAAAATGTATTCCATATTCTCATTGAAATGACAATCAAAAATGTTCTAGCACTAGTATATCAGAAATAGAGAATTGATACGTAAGTCGAATCCTATATGGTGTTCTCGAATGATTGAGTCACGCGTTCTTCCGCGTTTTTCAAGTTATAAAATATCGTGGATTTTAATGATTATTAAAGATAGTTACAGAGCTCTGAGGAAAAAATGGTTTGCGACAGTGAACTAGTCAGGGTTAGTACTTCAAAATAATGAAATTGAATTTTTCACTGAAACATGCCAATTTTCGAGATGAAATATGATGTCAGTACACCTTCTGAATTTTTGTTACCATTAGATTGAATATAGGTAATTTGAACTGGATAAGGTGGAATCTGTTTTTGATTCAAACTGAATTAATTTCCCCCATAGTGGGTGTTATCTAACCCTGGTATATCTCCGGATAAAACATGAAGATCTAGTCATGTTATCGCCATCTATAGGCATAGTTCTAAGGTAGGATCATGCGATCGCGACATACGACTATAGATGGCAGCGCCATACAGTGTATGTCGCGATGGCATGATCCTACCCTAGAACTATGCTTCTAGATGGCGATAACATGATACGATCTTCCCACTGCAGCGTTGCCACAGCTCACTCGATTGAGCGAGATCTCGCTCGTTTTGTTACCAGTTCACTCTCTCGCTCCTCTTTGTCAAATCTCCTTCGTTTTCACCTCTGCTAGTAGGCCACACAGATTAGGCGCAATATGGCAAAACTATGTTTATATTTTTTCGAAGTTCAGCTATATGGGCATAGATATGGCCTGACATAAGCACAGGGCCGGACTGAAGGTACAAAACGGGCTGGGCGTATTTCCCAAAGCAGGTCAATTTACCTGTCAAAAGTGTGTGTTGCAGGCGTTTTTTTTTCTCAAATTTCAAGGTCGACTCCTCAATATATTATGCGATGTTAGAATATCCACCACCAAAAATATCGAGACTTCGTCGAGTAGTTGAATGATGGATCTCAAATTCATCTGAGAATTCAAATATTCTGATTGCAACAAAAATCGAATTTTAACGTCAAGTTTACTTCGACCTAAAAAAATGCTTGAGTGTTATTCGGTGAGACAATTGAATGAATACGTAAATCACATTATTGTTGATGGTTTTTCAAATTTCTCCAATCGACTGAGACTCTCCCAATGGGCTAATATCACAAAAAAATTTTATTTCATAATTCGATAGAACTCACCCAAATTAGCTCACCACCGCAAATTGTTTCTTGCTGTGAGCTCCCTACGTTTTATAAAAAATTATTGAAATCCCCGATTTTTCGGACCTCTGAAAACGAGGCAATGATGTGACGTCAAAACCCTACTACTGAAACAAGACTATTCCAGACAAAGATGAATGATACATGATATCTGACAGAGTGAATTAGCGCGAGATCAAAGTTGAAAGGATTAATATATCAGTTGCCTCAGTCTCCGTCGGGCGTTTGGTATTTTCTTTTAACTATGGCGAGATGAGGTTTCTACGTCATAAGATAGGGTCCGTTTTCAGAAGGTACTATCATTTATGTCCAAAAATGAAACATTCCAGTTAATTTTTCGATCGAATTATGTTGTCAATCATTATCTATGTATAAAAGGATCATTATAAACATGGTTTGAGTTAAAAGTTCTACTAAGGTGTACACGCCCATTGGGACATTTCCACAGATTAAATACTTCTCTGACAAATCAAGTTTGGGAAAAAATTTCATAAAAACCATCCAAGATTTGTTTACAGTTTTGATTGTCTGCATTCAAATCTTAAATTTCCGTTCTGTTGCTGGAAAAGTTAAGGTAATATTTTTTCGCTGTCATAATGTCAAAATCACAGCGGTTCACGGGATGTTATGAATATAAATTGAATTGTCACAATGGAAAAATTCATTTCTCGCTGCAGTTTTGCCATTTTTTGCGTGTAATGGCCTCGGCTGACGCCTACATTACGCTCTTGATACAAAAATGACTATTTCAGAAGATATTGATATGAAAGCCTCCACGGGATCTTGGGGCAGATAGTTTCATACTCTATTTGAAATCAATTTTGATATAGAAAAGTACTTCTTACATAGTTACATGCAACTTGTGAAATAGACACGTCAATGAATATCTTTATACCTTTTATAGATCAGGGTAAAATAAACATGCGTTTGTATGAAATTCAAAATTTCTACCAAATATCGGGTATAAAATAAAGCTTTAACAGGCAGGCCGGCCAGTGGGCCAAAAATTAGCCAGGTCATTGGGCGATCTTCTATCAGCTATGGCATGCTTTGTCATGGATATATTATAAACAAATGAAATATTCAATCATGTCAAAATGCTTCGAAAGAAATAAAACGAACATTCTGTTCTACAATTCTCTGATAAATAGTAGCAGTTTAAAGGATATAGAAAAAAATTGAACTTTTATTTTTATATTTAATTATGTACCTTAGTTCATAGTAATGTGTTATGAGTCAATGTAGGGTTTTCCAATCATTTATTTCATCAACAACAAAATCTCGCTCTTTGACTAACTTGATATCTCGCTCGATTTTGACAGCATAGCTCGCTCAAAAAATCATATGCTTATGGCAACACACTTGTCAGCAGACCGAGACAGCTGATGAGGCCTGGTGGGGTAGGCCTGCTGATAATTGCGGCAGCTTTGCTCATCCAAGATCTCCCAGTTATGAGATCAATATTGTTCAATGACTTAGTATTGTCACGATACTTGGCTTCCTGATGGGATAAGACCACTGGATCATCTTTGACGGTAGCTCAGATAGGGTAGATTATATTAACTCAAGACACTAATAGTTGAGGGTACGAGAAATAGTAAAAACCATATTCAAAACATAGATCACATTTATCAGATTATCAACGTATAGAAGAGGAATCATTATAGGTACGACATACAATATATAGAATGGTTAAATAGTACTTACAATATAGATAGAGCCATTTTCGGAGAGGGTTGTCGGGTAGAACGCACAAAGACCTAACTAAACTGATTAACGTGATAACCGACTGTACAAATCGACAGTTTACACCACCGAAAGCAATTATTCGAATACAGATCATCAACTGCCTCCTGGAATATCCACAAATCTATATTTATCTGAAATCTCAAGTACTGTTATTGTTTATAGGTGATTCTCGGTACGTTGCTGTTGGAGGTTACTCAGTCGTTCAGGTTGTTGATGAGTCAATGCCAGAACGTGTTCCAAATGTTATTAAACTTTCGGTGCGATGGGAGAAGCACGATTTGGAAATTATGGAAATATTGAATTATCGATTTCGATTATAATTTTGGAATAATTACTTATTTGTGACAGTATATCTACCTATTTCCCTTTGGAGGATTAGTAAATTGTTTGGCAATGTGTCTTCTGATGTATGGTACTTCACAGGTAAATGATAGCGCACTCACTCTTCTGGGCGATACTCAAGAAGAAGACAGAAGACACATCGCAGACTTGGTGGCTTCGCGCATGCAAGTCATATGTAGACCTAGAACTCCTCCACCGACAGAAGAGCCTCTACCGCCTCCGGTAGGTCCCAGAGGGATACTAGGCAGCCTAACTAGCCTAACACAGTCAGATACCCCACCACCAAGTGCTACTTCAGATGTTCCTTCTTTAGGTAGTATCGGTAGAAGAGATAGCCAAGGTGAGATATTTACAGTGAAGTTTGATTGATTGATTGCAATATGATTCAGAATGGCCAGTTAGGTCTAGAGTCACTGGATGGTATTAGTTAGATAGGAGTTCGGACGCAGCCGAACTTCTGTCTCTCTCTATATTCTATATTACATTGGTTTGAGTGAATAAAAGAATAATTCAACGAATTCAAACTTCCATTGCCAGCATACAGAGGTGAATTCAATTTTAATCTCAAGTAACGCTTTTTTATGCATCCTGAATTTTTATTCTAGATTTATTGCCAGTTCCAGCAAAAAAATTCGAAAATTTGTTGATTCTGAAGAGATTTTGTGGACCTGAAGCACAGATTTACTTCACAGAATTACCCCATCAATGATAGGTAACATTGTTAACTTGTTATTTCCTCCAGAATGTGTATGACATTCCTCGTTTTATTATTATTGTCTTCTGCATAACTAATACAGTTGTTTGTTTCAATTTTCATAAAATATATGAGAATATACTTTTACTTTATATATAGAATTATGTCATTATTTTAACATTGATAGTTTGGAAGTAATCCGGTGTTTAATTGGTAAAATGCGATTATCTCAAAACAAAGTTTCAAATATTCTGCTCTTTGTCTTTTCAACTTCCCTAGTAGCGCCTGATTGTCAGATACGATTTTAGAGGAAAGTTTTTCTGTCAAATCAATCATAATCGTAGTTGGACAATAAGAATCACATAAATAGAATGCACCTTTATGGATATAATACTTGAGCTTAGTAGATTATCTCAAAGAAATCTTCTGTTTGAAACTGGACTAAAATATAACTTCATTTTGATCTGCTGTTATAAGAAGGAAATTTTAATGTATGTACCAAATTTTGCTTGTCTCCTAATTAATTTTCCATCCAGGCCGTTTCATACATTCCTTCTATAAGAGAATGGTTGATATTTCCTTTGGGAAATCAAAGAAAAGAAATCCATTCTTTTCAGAAGTCCACAATGTATTATACAGCAGGAAATTCATTGTCAAGTTCAAATAATTTTGAATGAAAAAGCGCAGGACGACTATGGTGCTATTGTCACAATGCAAGGTGTGTAACTTAATAAATATAAACATTCAAAAACACTAACAGTTGTCATTTCTGTGTCCGAACTTTTATCTAAGTAATACCATCCAGTGACTTTATTTAGGTCAAGTAAGTATAGGTTGTAGATTTTCATGATCCATGATTGTTGATGCATAACCCTATATTTCATACTACCCACAATCTTTCGAAGTTTCACCTTGTTTTAGGCTGCCAGAAAAATGTCGGCTTGAAGCACGGTTATGTCCTCTGACGATGTACATGGGATGTATAAATGGCTAGATTCTCTTCATTCAGCCGGAATTTTATTGTTGACAGCTCCAGAAAAATAGTCCCATCATATTTTCTCCAGACATTACTATATCTTGGTCCATCGAATTTTTGTTCCTTAGAATTTTGGCCCCTTCGTCTTCATCCGCCTTAGAACACCACCTACCAGAGTCGTTGACTGATGAAATGTAAACTGAAAATGCTCAGTAAAACAACTGATTGCACTGGAGCTGAACTCTGTAAACACCGTACAGCCTAGTGGAAAACGTTATAAAACGAGATCAAGTTATGTGATCACTTCAATCCAATTTCCAATCCTTTTCCAGATATTTATGATTTACTATTGGATGATTTTCAACTCGAATCGAATATAACTATTTGGGTTTGATCCCGACTCCCATTTAGACTTCTATTTGGAACATTCTCAATCTACAGACATGCAAACAGTTCCTGATGCCTCATATGTTTTCCATTTATTCTCAACAACTAAGCAGGACTTTTTGATACAATTAATTCCTTGCGAATACAGTATTGTGGAACAATCCCCGTGTATTGCGAAAAGCAGAAGAGAACAAAGGAACTGGAAAATGCTACCAGGATTTCACTTCTACTGATTCTTTAATTTGCTAGATCTTTGTTGAAAACAATCACCTAGGTCGCAGGCACAAAATAAGTCCAAAAGCTATACGAAAATTCGCCCAACACAATCATTAATCCCATCTTCACAATGTTAAATAAGTTTTTTCCGTCGACCGCTACAAGAAAATCACATTGTACGGTCTAGATTCCTAACAAAAAACCAACTATTTCCGAAGGCAAGTCCGCAGACTTTTCGTCCGCAAATACTTTTCGTCCGCTTCAGGCTTGCCAGTTCGACTCAATTTTCAGTAGATCTCTTGATTTGCATATTGATCTACATACTGAAAGATTTCATAATCTACTGACACTCATTCATTATTATAATTACCTTAAAGATATTTCGGCACGCTCTGTCTAAATCAATTTTACAAAATAACTAATAAATGTACATATATGGGTACTAATGATATGTATAAACCAAAAAAGGACAATACTTCATCTAATTCCGATCGATGCCGTTCTTTATATACCTCTGTATAACAGTTTTTTTCTTATGCTTAATTTCATTATTTGTTTTGTATTCTCGTTGTTCATTTTTACTATTTGTTCCTGTTTTTTATATACTCAAATCTAATAAGTACCTATATGTAACTGTATTTTGTGATATTTGTGAGTATTATAGAATAGAGAATTAGGAATAAAATCATTTTTGTATAAGAAAGTGTGTTTTGTTTGTTTTTCTATTCTGTTGGAAATAGGTTACTTTTCTGTTTACTAAAGGTACATAATGTTTTGACGTCATTATCGTTTCTTGGAATTCGAATAGCATGAAATATATCTCAAACAGATCTTTGGAATCTACAGAACTTTTAACAAGGTATTTATACTGATGGAATAAGAATCGAACTGGCAACCCTGGTCCGCGCGGAGAGTGAGTAGACAACAACTGTCATTTGCTGATGTCAAATCAATCATTCAGGAAATCCGAAAGATTTCACGTGTGAATAGGACCGTGATGTAAATATAACTGTTTGAGGTCGACGAAAAAATGTTATCTGCACCTCGGCGAAAAAACCGTCTATTGTCTCGCCTGATTGCTAGCCTCGGTTGAGGCCTCGCCTATCTATTTGCAGACTCGACTATGATAGACCGTATTTTGTCCTTGGTAAATAAATATATCAGTTCGTTACCAAAGGCAAAATTCGATGTAAATATCACAAGGACGTATTGTTCGGATCAAAATGAGACTTTTTTTTCATATAAACATTGGTCCTAGAATGCACCCTATTTGGGCCAATAAAAGTGAGGACCTCCTCCAACCCCCCAAGAACTGGGTTCACATAATTTTTGAAGAAAGAATGAAATGAAGTGTCTAAAAGGACAGGGGCCTGCTAATTTTCAGAAGATTTGATCTTTCATTTTAGTCACAATTTCAGAATATCTTTTTACTTTACCTAACTCACAGTGGCTGTAGCATGGATGGGTTGACTTTCAAGACACATGATTATGTGGAGCATAAGTCTTATTTTGATCCAAAAAATTCGTCCTTGAAATATTTACTCAAAGTTTGAAGCATCTTGTATAATGACATTGTATTTTCAGTATCTCAAACGAGCACAGTTAGTAGCGCACCAAGTACAGGACGTCTTCCGGATCCTCCACCCAGACCTTTTCAGAGACAAGGCAGCCAATCACAGTCTCTCATAGAGGACACAGAAGACACTATGAAGAATCTCAGAAAAACCTTTGCCGGCATTTTTGGCGACATGTAAAGACGTTACCTCTTAATTACAATTTATTTTTCTCACTGTTGAAATACTTTACAGCTGAACCATTCCATACAATAGAGCACATTAGAAGTAGACTAAAAAAATGCTTATACAGGGTGTATCATAGGGAACTGTATATACTCCTACGACGTTTAGATGCCCTTCAAGGGAATATTGGAAAACCATCAGACCGGCCTTGAAATATTTATTAGACAGGCATCAAGAAGTGTGAGCTACATTTTCTTGATTTGACCGACCCCCTACAAGGTTTCATTAAACAGTGCAACAACAATGATAACTGATGACAGTTTCCCACTTCATGGGTTGTCAACATTTATATAAATCTAGGAAATACATAATAATGATCCACCAATTTCATAACATTAACAAATAAAAAATAATATTCCCTCCAAAATAAATGTTTCGTTTCTAGTGCACTGATGGGGTGTCACATTTCGTTACTCCCACATATAGCGTACCTACATTTCGATAGGCCCACATTTCGATGAACCTAAAGTCTCTAAACACACCCGAAGGATGCACTGTTACCAAATGTGGTGTAACACGATGTGTCGATAGGCCCACAATGCCTGGTACAAGCTTCTATCAATACCATTCCCCTCTTTGGCTCTCTGAATTCCGAAGACGTAATATGAGGAAAGAAAATACTCTCTCCAAATAAGAAAGCAAACTACTTTATTTGAACAATTTGACCTCAGAAATTATATCCTTCGGAAACTTACGTATATAGCATAGTATATGGCAACAGTGCATCCCTCTGGTATGTTCGAGAATTCGAAATGTGGGCCTATCGAAATGTGGGAACAACGCGATGTGGGAGTTATGAAATGTTGATACAACGACATGCTCTCAATGCGAGTACATACATAATACCTATACAGAATGTTCCGAAAAAAGTATGGAATACTTCGATCACCAGCGCCTTTCACGATCAGAAATAAGCAACTATTTCATCTCTTTTTCAAAAATGAAATTATGTTCGAGTACGAACAATGTGAAAATAATGTCGAAATTTCATTTGAGGTCGTAGCAAGTATCAATATACAGGGTATCCCAGAATAACGAGGTAATTCTGCACATAAAGATAAGAAAAAAAAATTCCTATCAACATGTGTCCGAAAATGGTTCCTATATAAGAGCACTATAGAGCCGTTTGAAGATAAGTCCTTAAATGCAGTTTTCTTCAATTATCTTCGTTATTATTGTTCCTAGAATCACTTACTCTCGTATTGAAGAGAATTAATCTAACAAACCGTTTCGTGGTACGGAAAACATGATTTAATGTACAGGGAGGTGCGAAATTTGTAACCGATACTATGAAAATACCCCAAGTTCTTTTGTTGCAAGATTTATCTCATTTTTACTATCATAATATACTTCCTCAAACGCTTTCACATGAAGAAGGTACTCTTGTCAGAAATGTCAGAATGCCGTGAAAAGAACTGTTTTCGAGAAAAGTGGCATTTTTGATCTGTCCGAAAGAAATCACAATGATTTTGAGTGTAATGTGCTCTTAAATTTTACATTTTCAGTTAGTTTTTCCAATTAGAGTTAATGTTGATGTGATTTGTTGATGAAATATCCGCAATGGCAACTGACTATATCCAATTTTACACTAGGTGAACATTTTTGGACATCATCAAAATGAAAAATTATATACCATATTATCGTAAACGGTTTTTTTCAGCATTCTAACAAGAACACCTTTTTCATGTGAAAGTACGAGTTTCGCATCTTCTTATACGGGGTGTGTCACGACGAGCTTACACTATCTTTTTATCGAGAATCAGTCGAGAGAAATCCATGAACATGTGCATGCTTATAGTATAGAATACGCTCTCCTCATTTAAAATATTTTCGACAATGCAGTGTTGCCGCTTCTACTAGAAAGTAGTAGCAACATTGATATTTCAAATGAAACACCCCGTATATCCGAAAATATTTCAGAGATATAGGTTGTTCAAAATCGAGATTTTTCAACTTCAGGATTTTTTATGTCGAAACTATTGATTATCTGTCAAAACGTCTCACATGTCCAACTTTTGATTCATTATTTACTGATATTCAATCGGAACAGATACAGAGTGGTGCAAGATTCAGAATTCTGATCACATGTGAGCCGTTTTGGCCGATAATGAATACTTTCGACACAAACAAATCGTGAAGTTGATTTTGAACACCCTATATCTCTGTAATCACTTTCGACAGACCATAAGTGTGATATATCGATGAAATCAGCTCTTAAGGGAGAATCTAAAAATGTAATAAAATACGGGGTATTCAGTTTGAAATAACAAAGTTGTTGCTACTTTTTGATAGAAGCGGCAATACTGCATTGCTGAAAATATTTTAAATGAAGAGAGCGTATTCTAAAATATGACCATGCATATTTTCATGGATTTCTCTCGACTGATTCTCGATGTAGAGATAGTGTAAGCTTGTCGTTACATACCCTGTATATAAAATCATTCTTTCTGAACTTCGAAACGATTTTTGAGATCCTAAGGTACCAAATTTCATGATTCTAGGGCCTACGCTCTAGCGCCCTTGGGAAGCATTTTTGGACACATGTTGATCAGAACATTTTTTCATATCTTCATGTGCAGAATCTCCTCCCGGAACTTACGTACATTATTCTAGGAC